ACGAATCTAGTGATCAAATGAACCACCCACTGCTTACAGGGTTTGCCACGCAGTGGCGTAGCGTGGGTTGTCAGCACCCGGGGCAAGGCAAGTAATTTGCGCCCCCTAACCCATGGATTTGCGCCCCCTAACCAGTGGATTTGCCCTAACCTCAGATGTTGCGCCCGGTGCAGCCGGCCCCCCCTGCACCCCCCACGCTACGCCACTGTTGCCACGTGCTCCATGTAAGTGAAGTATGGACTAGGGACAGGCATTTGGGAATTGTGAATATCACACAGATACTTTGATGGTGGACTCCATCTGGATTTATTCCATCTCAGATGGCATGAGTAAGAGGGTGCGTTATGGATCTTGTTCTCTGTGTGGGCGGGCAGACCTATTTTGGGTATGCCAAACCTGAAGGCAAATTATTCAACAGCAACCTGGAGAACAGAACATGCCAACAACTAACATAGGACTTGATTAGCAGAATGCAGGGTGTGGGCGACTTCACTCAGAGCTATTTAAGGACCCTGGCAGAACAACAACCCCTCATCCTTGAAACAAGCAGTGTGCTGCTGCTTTAGCTGCTGCAGCTTGTACCAAACTACAGGGTGCAAGATAAGTGGAACTGCCACCGTTGCATGATTTCCCTGATCTACCCATTTGCAAGCAGTATTGCACAAAATATGGTGTGTGGTCGTTGTGCTTTTCCTCCAGGCCTTCATCACACAACTGACTGTCAGTTGGGGGCATAAAGGTGCACAGTTGTGTTATAGTACACTGGGGTGGAGGACATTTTTCAGCCTGAGGGCCACATCCCCTTCTAAGCAACCTTTATAGGGCCACATACCAGGGGTAGGAGGAGCCAGAGGGAGGTGGAGCAATGAATGCAAATGTTATTTTTGTACTGTAGACTAATTTCTCTGCCATCCAAAAAGCATTATCAGAGTTCAACGATATCAGATTCTTCAAGTGTCCCTATTTTCCAGGGACAGTCCCAGATTTACAGAAGCTATCCCGGTTTCTGATTTGATACTGGAATGTCCCACTTTTCCTTAGGACATCCCTATTTTCAATGGAGAAATGTTGGAGGGTATGGAGTTATCCAGCCCCCAAGCCATCTGAAGGCAGTCCTGTATAGGGAAGTTTTTTAATGTTTAATGTTTTATTGTGTTTTATATATGTTGGAAAGTCATATGGACAGGGTATTGAATAATATAATATAATATAATATAATATAATATAATATAATAATACAGAACATCAGAGAAATGTTGGAGGGTATGAGATATAATCCAGCACGGCCCAAATACTCAAAGATAGTGTGAAGCAGGTCCAGTGAGATGTATGACCTGAGGAGAGCCTGGGGAGAGTTCTGAGATTTGGAGGGCTGGTCTCAGGCCAAAGGTTCCCGTGGTACATGTTACAAGGAAGAATGGAGAAAGAGGAGGGAGAAGTGGCAGCTAGGGCCATAGTCAGTCTTTCTCACTAGGAGGGCTACCACATTGCCACATGGAACGTTGAAAAATTGAATGGGAAATCAGAGATTTCTTAATAGCAATGTGCCAGCGCCAGGGGTCAGCACTGGCAGGCATTTGCCAAGGCCCACAATCCTGCAGAACACCCACTACCAATTCCTGGAGCTTCCTGACCCTTTGCTCCCCGCACTCCTTGTCATCACTGGCTGTTCACTTAGCCTCTTATGGCATGTAAACAGTGTCCCTAGAGCATGGGAATGGAGCAGGTACCTCAATTTGCCTTAGACAATCATACCAACTGAAGGGAGATATTTATGGGGCCATTTAAGCCTGAGAAGAAGGACTCTGAAGCACAAATGGAGAAGGGTCCAGAGCTGGGGTGTGCATACAAGCCTCTTTCCATAATGACCAAAGGAGTTCAGAACTCATGTTCAGCATCTAAATATGAACAATGTTTCTTAGCGTGCTCAGTGAGGTTGAAAAGTCTGTATCTGGGCTGGACTAGTTCAGAATGTGGGTGGGGCTCATAGGACACCATCTTTGTGCTCCATATGGGGGCCATTTCCTTCAGCACAGTCAGAAGCCTGGTCATTTATGCATAGCATCAAGAGAGGAACCGCACCATCAGAAAAGGTCATCTATTTTGGACTTATCCAAAATACTGTAAATGAATTTTGAAAGAACTTAGACATTCCCAATAGACCTATTGGTGGCCCTTTGGGCCATATTTTAAAAAAGGAAGATAGAGAGCTTCAAGACTAGAACTAGAAAAAAGAGGAACATGAGAATTCATTAACAGCTAGTGAAATTTTGGGATAGTTTAAGTATGATCACACTTATTCATGTTGTTAAAATAAGGGAAATGGAGAGTGATATCTGTGTGGAGCATGTTTATTATGTAAGTGAAGGATGTGAGTTACAAGGTACAGTCTTAACTAATATGGAAGATACTGGTTGATGAAGCATGAATAACTGTACTACATTAATCTTATTTGCACTACTATCAACATCAGTGAATTTATGATTTATTCTTATTGTTGACAATATGCAATATGTTGTTTTTTTTAAAAAATCTCTGCTGTATTTCAATTTACCATTTGGTTTTGTTATTTTGATGCCAACTAAGAATAAGTCATAGGGTTGTATTCCACTAAGTCCTACACAGAGTACACCCATCGAAACTAATGAACCCAAGTTACTCAGTGGGTAGCATTGAATATCACCCAGGAATACTGTCCTGCTGCTTACTGTAAATGGCCAACTGCACAGAATAATAGAATCCTAGAATTATAGAGGGTCACCTAGTCCAACGCCCTGCAATGCAGGAATCTCAACTAAAGCATCCATGACAGATGACCACAATGTTTAAGCCTCAATGGCCTTCTGCCATGGATGCTTTAGCTGAGATTCCTGCATTGTTGCGGGTTGGACTAGATGATCCTTGGGGTCCCTTCCAACTCTACAATTCTATGATTCAATGTGACAGCTCTTTGTGATGCATATCAATGTATGAAAGTCTTCCCTGAGAAGGAAAGCGGAAGGTGGAAGGGCAGATTGTGGGCATGTTGGAGGTGTGCAGGAGATGGATCAGGGGAAGCCTTTCCAGTTCCTCATCATGCCCCTCCAAATGGAGAGAGGTCATATCCTAACCCGACATATGTATTCACCCTCCCACAGGAGAGCCATCAGTTTTATTTAGAAAAAAATGAAAAGCAAAAAGCAAATGCAAAACCTCCTTCCACCCTGCTGCAATTAGGAATGGAAGAATCAGTCAGTTTTCGTTCCTCTCATTTTCTCATTTTCCTGTTCTCCACATTACCACATCAGTAGGTAAATGCATTTCAGTGTTAATTTCTCCTAATACACACATTTTTTTTCTAATACATTTCCCCCTACCTAATGCATTTTGGTGTGCTATTTTCTTGAATATGTGCATTTTTAGGCAGGTGTTACCCTGCAATACACATTTTTGTACATCTTTTTTGGCTAGGGAACTGCTCTGCAAAATTCAGAGAAATGCTAATTTCAAAGGATGGCTGTATTTGCACATCATTTTGAAAAGTGTGAACAAAGTAGATTCCCCCTTAAACACAAACCAAATCTAATTTCTCCTTCATCCCAAGCTGCCATGTACCCATTATGACCTTGGACATCTCAGAGCCTCTGCCATCAGTCCCTCCCTGCAGCACACAGGCAGGATTGCTCTTGCAAAAGAAATAATCTACATGACAGCCCATTGAAATTACTGGGGTTTCCTCCTGTGCCATAGTGTTCTGAACATTCCTCTAAACTGGAAAATTGTTTGCATAGCAATCTGATGCACATTTATCAAGAAGGGACTCCTGCTGTATTCAGTGGCCCTTGCTCCCAGCTAAGTATGTACAGTGGTACCTCGGGTTACATATGGTTCAGGTTACATACACTTCAGGTTACAGACTCCGCTAACCCAGAAATAGTGCTTCAGGTTAAGAACTTTGCTTCAGGGTGAGAACAGAAATCGTGCTCTGGCGGCGCGGCGGCAGCAGGAGGCCCCATTAGCTAAAGTGGTGCTTCAGGTTAAGAACAGTTTCAGGTTAAGTACGGACCTCCGGAACAAATTAAGTACTTAACCCGAGGTACCACTGTATAGGATTACAGCCTTACAGATTTAACATTACAATTGTCATTCCTTAATCTTATTAAATGTTTGTTTTTTTGAGCAAATCACACACACCACCCTTGGCTCTCACCCACTCCCATAGTTTCTCACTAAACGAATTAAAACATTTTGAGCAATGGATCTGGACAGTCTGAATATTAAGAAAGCCCTTTATTGAGATAATGTGTGCTAGCTGCCTCAAACATTCTAAAGTGTTATATAAAACACTATGTAGCATTATTCTTACATTTTTGAAGGGAAGAAAAATGGTTTCCTTTATTACTGTGGTCTGTGCCAGATCAGACCTGTGGGGTTTCCATTCTTGTAAGCTGCTGCACAAAGTAACTGGAGTCATGATGGCTTGAATACAGTTCAATCCACTGTTACTCAAAATATAGTTTAGTTATTATCAAGCTGCTCGTCATCATTGATATCATGCAAGTTTGTGCCTATGATTTATATCTCACCCTTGCAGCCCGTTTAAAACTGAACACACTTTTCCTGTTAAAATGCTGATTTCTTCCAACTTCTTCCAACAAACCAACCCTCCCTTTCTAGTTTCTTGGAACTCTTCATTCCCAAATGACTGAAATACTTTCTTTTGTTCCACACTGTGACATTCTCAGGACTTTCCAACTGACATTCTCAAGCCCTGTTTCAAGATGTAAAAAGATAAAACAGCAGAAAAGAAAAGCATCCGCTCAGGAACAGAAACAAAGTCTCTAGGAAACTTTCCTTGGTGCGGCTGTAGAAACTCATACTGGGTATGTGCTGGCTTGTTAATCATTAAAAACGCTGACAAAGCTATAGAAGCTAATCAGGGACTACACAAGTTTTCAAAGTTCTGATGGAGTTTTCCTTTTTGGTTTTGTTTGGCTTCTTTAAAAAAAAAACCACCTTACCTTGATGGTGAAGAAGTACCATGCAAGTCGTAACAAAGAGGCCTTTGATCATTTTGGGCAGGGGGTTGATGAGGCGACGGAGTAGCCCTTTGATTTCAGAAGCCGAAGTGCCAACTTGAGCTGTCTCCAGCCTGCCTTTGACTGTGCAAAGCAAAGAATGACTGCTTCGGCTTTATTCTTGCTGCTACATGAGGAAGTGTTTACCAAAGGTGTTGCTCAACTTCCAAGTTGCAACAGTGCCACTGCAGGGCAGAACTTCAAGCTGACTTACCTGGGGTCAGTCGACAGGTGACGGGTAGTTTCTTGCAAGGCATTTTTCTTGCAAGTGAAATCCCCAAAGACCAAATTAAATTGGCAATGTCTGAGGTTTTCTTTGGCCTGGATGTTAATAGAACGGGTATTTTATTGGACACCTTTTTTGTTGTTGATGGGACTATTAAATGTGAAGGAAGGGGAAGAGGACAGCAGAGGGTTCTAATTCCTACAATGTTCTGAAAACAACAAATTTTCTAATAAAGTATAGAAGAGTTCAGGAAGTATTATACTAGGTTCTGGTTATATCACCATTTGTTGCTTGGGGGGCAGGGGAATAAACAAGGACAACTTCTGAGGCACCTTAAATGCTAACAGAGTTATCATGGTGTGGATTAAAGACTAGTTGCATCTGGCAAAGCAAGCTCTAGCCCCCAAAATCTTATGCCATAATAAATCTTGTCTTCTTTAATGGACCTCTTTGTAGACTTTGCCACAACAGATTCAGCACAATTTCCCCCCTGGAATTTGCTGTTCATGCATTGTGAGTTCCAGTTTCTGTTGATGTGTGTTTTGAGGGAAAGGGAAGGGCTTGAGCAATAGACATGAGACAAGTCACACTGAATCATTTGACTGCATCAAGGTGATTTCCCCCAACACCCTCTCTTCCCCCCCATCTCCAGCAGAAATCTTGGGTGTTCAGGAGCAGGCTCAGAATTAAAGTGGGTGTGAAAGAATGATCAGCATCTGGATCCTAACAAAGGCAAGGTGAAAATCTTCAGAGAATGGGGGAAAAGAGAGGAAAAGATGAAGATCCAGTTTCAGCTACTTTATATCAGGTCTGCAAACTTGAATCTGTTTTGGTGAGAGAGATTCTTTCGTTCTACGATTGTATGGTAGTATGAACTTTTTTAACACACACACATGTAAACATTAACAATGGTCTTTTGTTCTAAACATAGGTGGCAGGTTTTGGAAGCAATTCAATGTGTGCTTATTTGAAAGTAAATTTCTCTGAACTGAGTGGGACACTTCTTAGTAAAGTTGCATGGGATTGCACTGTATGTTTATTAAATTGCCTTAGGCTTATAGTTTGGTAATATGTTCTTTTTCTCCAAATCTGATTAATTAATGAGCTATGCAGTTTACTAATCTTTGCTGACAGCCCTACTTTATATGGCTACTTAAGGACACAAGTTAGATATGGCTCACATACATTATGTTTGCCCTTTTATGTTATGGTAAAATAGAAAAGTAAGGCTGTCATCACGCTGCAGTTAACATGGCTGCCAGCAGGAGGCCATGGCAACTCCAGCATAATGACAGACCAGCAGGCCGGTGAGCAAGCAAGCAGGCCTGAGTGGCACTTCAGAGAGCAGTCTGGCAAACTAATCTCTGAAGCACCTTCCATCCTCCATTGAACATTGGTGTTTAAAGGAGGATGGGAAGCACTTCAGACAGTGTTTTGCTAAGGTTCTTTTCTTTAATTCTTTAGAAGATTTATAAACTGCCTGATCAAAACTCTCTCCAAGCAAGAAACACATAAAATAGATAACACACAGTTAAATGCACAAGCCAATTAAACAACCAATGTGTATAAAACATTTCATAATTTATGAAAACAGTGCAAATCCCTGTTTATTCTGATCACATTTTTAGTGCATTTCCTCATCACTTTCATTGACATACCCTCCAACATTTCTCAGATGGAAATTGGGACATTTCTCAATCTCACCCCCCCCCCCCCAGCCTCCTGGAGCCTCCACTTTTTGTGCTCCTCACAGAGCATTTCCTATCAGAAAAAGGGCGAGTGCCACCATCACTATGCCAACAGGACACAGCACACATATATTCCACTGTCCTAAGAAAACCCCTTAATCCTTTTATTTTATTTTTTTGTAGATTTACAAAATGAAAAACACACCAATAAATAAATTTTAGAAAGCAGCAGGATTAGGCGCAGATGCCCAAAGCGCAAATATATATTATCAAGACTCCTTACACTCTGCTGCACTCCCCCTTTCTTCCCACCCAGGGTGGCCCTGCCCTCTGCCTGCCCCTCAAGTTGGCACATCATGTGGAGTTGGGCCTTCGCCGCGGCAGCCTCTCCTTCTCCTTGCCCTTTCTCCAGCAGCTGCTATGAGCTGCCCGAGAGCAGAGGCCAGCAGCAGCCGCAGCCGTGGAGAGGCCATAGAGAGGCAACAGGATGCTCTCTCACAGCCGCTGCCCCATCCACCATTGTCGCTTGGGACAAGTACTGGCTCATCCTGCTCTCCAAGTTTGGTGGCAGTGGCAGGGGGAAAAGGGACATTCCAGTATCAAATTGGAAGCCATGATGGTTTTGTAATTCCGGGACTGACCCTGGAAAATCAGGACACTTGGAGGGTATGCAAAGTCTAATCTTGTTGTTCCAGAATGACAGAGCACTTTAATCTACTAGGGTCAAAACGACGCCGTACATTCAAAGAAATCTTAAACTACTTTAACAGTCATAGAGAATTATGGGAACTGAAGTGCTAGGCACTGTCACTCTTTGAGGCCAAACTACAGTTCCCAGGATTCTCTTGGAGTAGCCATGACTGTTGAAGTGTTATAAGAGTGCTTTAAAGGTATGGTGTGGAACTGGTGAAAATAAGGGAGATAGATGCAAGATGAAAATACATGTGAAGAGGAAGAGCCACCATGTTGGGATCGTCAACTTCAACACAAAGGAATTTATATGCAGATATGTGGAGAACTGGGGTGGTTTGGATGAGGCAGCAGAGCTGGGGGAAGGGCTGCTTAACCCTTTCCTAGGGTAGCAATATCTCCTCCTTTACAGAGGACTTAATTCAAAGGAGTCTAGTTTAAAGATAAATAAGCAAAAGAATGATAAGAGAACCAGTCGGAGGGCCTTGAAATTGCCTGGACAGCAGACTGAGCAGGCACTCAGGACCCATGAGCACAGTCTTCCCCCATATGGGGAGGTGTATTGTATAATTAAATTATGGTAATTATTTCCAAATTTGTATCTAAATATTTCTAAATTTGCATCTAAATTTGCATCTAGTCTGTGCAAAAGTTATGCAAATCTGTGTCATGTTTATGCTATTTTGGCTGATTCATTTCCTCTTTTGTTGCAAGTTCTGCAGTACAAATATGGGGAACTGCCCATCATATTTTCTAAACAGAATCTGGGCAAATCTTTCCTCTTTTCAACCCCAGGATGGGATGGCAATTCAATAGGCAAGAGTCATGTAATTTTGTCCTCTTGCTGCAGCCAAAGAGGCTGGATGGAGCTCTTCCTGCCTATCAAGTTTCCTTCGGCACTAAATAAACAGGTGATATTTATTTAGGATATTTACATCCCACTTTATAGAGGATCTTAAAGCAGCTTGCTAAATATTCTCAAAAAGAAACCACACTGAGATCTAGTAGATAGTAGGAAAGAAATCTGATCAATTTGATTTGATCTATCCCTGTTCTTGTTTCTGAAATGGAAGCAACTGTGCATTATTAAATTATTCTTGAATTTCAAACCTTGAGCATAGCACAGTTTGCCGAACATTTATTTCAGTTTTTACTTCCCATCTATGTTAATGATTTTAATGGGGAGGGAAGGGGAGCATGAGCTGAAAAATCTGCTGCATTTTCTAAATTCCACTTTATTCCTCACTAGTCGGATCTCACCTTGTGTCCAGTAACACACTGCACTGGATCCATCCAAAACCTAGATCCCAAATGGATTTGCCTGATCCGATTGGGGCAGCCCTGAATTACCCTGGGTTAGATCAGGCCCACCTAGAGTTGACTGGGGCTGTCAAAAGGGGGGATCCTGCCAGAGGGGATGGGAGAAGAAGATGCACAAGCAGCCTACATATGCCTTCCTCTCCCCATCCTCCCAGCCATGTGCTTAGTCACCAGTCAGGGTTTAAACCCAGATTAAGCATGACTCTAAAATAAATGGGGAGATGGAGTTCCAGTCGTGAGAAGCCACCACTGAAAAGCTCCAGGACCAGGACCCCACACCACATACTTCATACTGAGTAGGGACCACCAAGAGAAACTCATCTGCTGCTTTCAAATCAGTGGATATTGTCCACTATACTAGACAACACACACGCACACACAAAGTGATGAAGAAGCTGCACAATCAGAGTAAGATGATAGATACCTGTTTCAGGAAAGCTGCGTCATCTCTCTTCTCACGAAATGATTTCTGTAAACGTGAACATGTTTGTGTCAGTCTACCTACGGAGGTGTTTCTTCTTCATATTATCTCCCATACATATGGTCCACGTTTCATTTTGTTCTCTGGTGAATTTCTGTATTTGGCAAAGCTGGAGAATAATGCCTAAACCCAGTTATGTAGGGGGATGTCCCACTGAATTCAGATGGACCAGTTTCTGAGTAGCCATGCATAAGATCTGAAATTAGTTAATTGAATATTTATAACTATCTTGTTCTGCTGGGGTTGGGAACAGCAAGGGAAAGTGGTGATGAGAACTGTAAATACGATGGCCCAACATAGCTGATGGCTTTTTCTGTAGACAAATTTATTTATAAGAACTATTTCCAAACTGACAGTTCATTTTTAAAAAATCGTGGCAGCAGGCAATAAAATCATGAAAACATCATAAAATCATGAAACACAGAACAAATGACCAATACTGAATTAAATTAATTCTTGAAAAGTGCTTGTTGAAACAGAGCAGGCAGTTTGTCCCATTTCAAAGGGACCAGTGTCATGTGACAAAGACACATGAGTGCAGAAGCAGCAAAGCAGGCTGGGAAGTGCTGGGACTGCGCAATCATTTGGGCCTAGTCAAGTTCTCCAGGCCTAACTGCTAACTGGGGAGTCACTCTGACTGAAAAACTTAGTAGCCGTTTTCTCTCTGTGTCTTGGCAGCCATTTTCTCTGTGTGTTCTCTGTAAGATTTCAGTCAGAGTCAGTCTGCCTCAGTTGTGAGCAGTGTGTAATCCCAGTCAAACTGTGTGGAACCATGTTGTTTGTGAAGAAGTTTATTTTAATCCAGTAAAGCTTTTATTCAATTAAAAACTCTGCATTATTAATTTATGCAGCTCATTAAACAGTGTTCCAAAGAACTGGTGCCACTTGGCTAAAAGCCTTGATATGCATAGAAATCAAACAAATACATGAGAATAATGGGATAGTCAGGAAGGCTTCACCATTTTATATAGTTATGTGGCTGATGTATAAGGGAGAAGAAGGACCTTCAGGCAACCCGGTCTTGGGCATTTTCTCTCTCTTTATATACTGACAATAATACATGGAACTGGCAGTCAAGGCCTAGTTTTGAGCACTACTGTAATATTCTGGTAGAAAGAGCAGGTGTCTTTGTTGCTCAGACTGGTGAGCAAGCCTGATACTGATGCTCTTAAATTCTGATTGCCCACTACAGATTATTGCGGCAAAGAGAATTGCTTAGCTGATAAGGTTTATATTCTGAGGTTCTGTCTTTGGCCCAGAACCAAGTGGTGGTGGAGAGGCTAAGCTGCTGCAACTAATAGCAACTGTGTTGAAAAAAACAAGACCCAGATATTTTTCATACCACTTGGCTTTATTTGGCAATCAGGAACATGTCATATCCGCTTTAAAGCTAAAGTCATTTTTGTAGACATGAGTAATAATTCTTTGTACAGTAAAAAAGAATTTGTCAATGTTAGATCAGTGTTGGGCCTCCAGTGAAAACTATGCCAAAATATATCTCAAGTGCATCACCGGTAACACTAAAGGCTTAATTTTTACACAATCTCTCTGCATAATTTCTTTTCTCTAACCACCCATGCTGGGCTGTTCACCATTGTGCTTCTCAGCTAATGAACAATACCAGAAATGCACTGTGGAGAGGGGGGAATTAGATCCATGAATCACATCTGGTTTTAAACACAGAGAAAATTCGGCATTGCATGATTAAATAGAATCTGTGCACTGATAAAACTAGGGTTCTTATGAGGGGAGCCCAAAGCTCTTCATTTTATTTTGAAACATCAGAAAAACATCCGCTTTCCACTTTGATGATGTTTCCAAAATGTCTTCAAAAATGTTCACCTATTCATTTCGATTCCCTGATTTTGCTCTCAGTTGGCTTTGATTTTTATTAGTGATTTCAAAACATGAATAAATCTGGTTCATTGAGTAATGTAGTGTTATTATCCCTGATCAGCTGGAATCAGTCATATGACTGATCAGTTGAGCAGGGCTTTCACTTCCATATAACTATATTCAGGCCTGGTCCACTCATGAGGTGGGATGAAGCAGCCTTCTCAGGCCGCAGATGCCCCCATGAGTGCTCCTCCTCCACCAGCATCAGCGCCAATTTCTAGCAAAATCTCACAAGATCTCATAGTGTGAGAGATGTCATGCCACTTCTTTGCCAGTGATGGAGGCAACAGGGCAGATGGTGTGGGAGCAGGCCAGTGTGGCAGTGGCGGGGGTGGTGGTACTTAATGTTTCGCCTTAAGCAGTAAAACAGGACACTGTGGCCCTAACTATATTTGTCATTCCCAGTAACATCATCATATAAATGCACTTGACTGAAATGCACATTATATTCTTTCAGTACGTGATCAATAATTGCCTGGGACTGTCCATTTCACTAATTCCTTGAAGAAGGAGGAAGAAGCGGTCGCTAGGAAGTGTGTATGTTGATATCGCACAGAGGCAAGAGCAATTTGGGAGGAAAGGACGGCTAACAGGATTGGGAAAAGGTGAATATTCTGACAACCAAAGTGTCTGAGGGGAAATGTTTCCAGTTGCAGACAGCATGGTGGGGTGTCACCGCTCACCTGACCTTTGGTTGGTTACATTACTGCTGCTTCCCGGAAGGTAGAGGGAGAAGAGTGAGGCAGCAGTGAGGCTGGTGCAGTGCAAATACACCAGCAGAGCCAATGCAGCATTCCTTCTGGTCTGATTGCACCATGCCAACCTTATCTTCCTCCCTGTAAGCACTCCATTGTCTCTTGAGACAGACAGATACCAACAAAAATGTATTTTTTGTAACTAAAACGACAACTATGTGTCACGTTATTTACAGATATAATACTCTAAAAGATGACATACGTCCATGCTGTGAGTGACAGGATTTATTCCTGCAGTAGATAAAAAGGAATGAACTTTCATCATCCCAGTCTTGTAACATGACTCCCCTGGGATAGGAACAATCTTTGTAGGTGAGTACATTGAGACTTTCTATCCAGATGACGCAGAAAGTTTATTGTCATACAGACTAAGTATCTTCAAATGGTTTCTCTCATGCATGCATCCACACACACACACACACACACACACACACACACACGAGGGGGAAGGAATTCCAACTTTATTCATTTTTATATAGCATAAATGTACAATAAGTGTAGAACATACAGGGTGTAGCATTCAGGAGCACAAGTTATCTGTATTTTCTTTGTAATTCAGCAGATATAATCCACACTGCTGAAATTCTGGATATATAGTTTACTAAATGAAGAGGTATTGGATCACCTAGAATCTCAGATCTGTGTGGGTTGACTGTTGTTACTAAGTGAAGGCATTATGAATGTGCTCACAATTCCTCTTGCCTTCTGGCTTCATATTTCCAGAACTTGGGATCTGGAACCAATAATGCTTTCTTTGATAACAATGCCATGCCATGCAGCGTTGAATAAAGCAACATGTGAGTTTGGACTACTGTGGAACTTCCTTTTGGGTAAACATGCAGAGGATTAGCGGTGTGCATGGCCCTCACGATTCCATGCATTTAAAAAGTTGTGATCTGTTTCTAAGTTGCTCTGTGCACTCGACACTTCAATCTTCATTCTTTTCATATGCATTTCCCACACCTGGTATTCTCAGAAGCATACCACTTCAAATACTGGAGGACATCATACACAGACATCGTATACACAGACATCATATCCAACAGCAGTGAAGACCATTTACTAGATATTTCTGCTCTTGGACTAGATGACTGCCTGCTAGTGCCTTTCACAAGTGGGGGTGCTAAAAAAAACACCCCACCACATCTACCCACTAACTTAAGACTCTCTCTCCTGCTCCACCCAAACAAGTCCCTTCCACCTATTCTACCCATGCAAGCTTTTTGCATCTGTCATCCTCTTGAGTTCCATCTGCTATGTCTTTTGCAAGTTTGCTTTGAAATAGTATTACCTGCTGCATCCCATGACCCGTAAACAAAGATGACCTACAGGTAACAAACCCAGTCACCAGACCATCCACAAACCTTTAATCACAGGTCAGGCTTTCCTGTATATACATGGAGTTAAAATTTGGTATGACCCCTTGTTTCTTCCAATTCTATTCTTAGGTCAACCTCTTGGGCAAATATTTGATATTACCATAATATGAACTGTCTTGCATAAAGATGCATAGATGATTCCAGGGTCATTAAAAAAAATCAATGTATTTGAATCAATGCCAACATTATTGCTGCAATGTCCATGCTGGCCTCATAATTATTTCTTGTAATTTAAAACAGCAACAAACTGTACTTTCACAAGCTAAAGGGGGGAACTTGAAAGTGTCTGGTGCGCTGATAAAAAAAGGAGCAGATCTGGAAACCACAGAAGAACATGTTGCAACAAAGAGCTTTGATGCAATGGAATGTTGTTTTGATATCACTCTCTTACATAAAACAAGACATTACTAGAACTGAAATGGAGAATCTTTGGAAGGTTGTAAACAATATTTGTTTTTGCAATCTATCAAGATAATCTAAGGATTTGCATTTTGCTCCCCATTAAAAATTTCATTGGTTTTACATCTAGCTGAATTTCCCTGTTTATGGGACGCAGGTGGCGCTGTGGGTTAAAGCCTCAGCACCTAGGACTTGCCGATCGAAAGGTCGGCGGTTCGAATCCCTGCGGCGGGGTGCGCTCCTGTCGTTCGGTCCCAGCGCCTGCCAACCTAGCAGTTCGAAAGCACCTTCGGGTGCAAGTAGATAAATAGGGACCGCTTACTAGCGGGAAGGTAAACGGTGTTCCGTGTGCTGCGCTGGCCTGCCAGAGCAGCGATGTCACGCTGGCCACGTGACCCGGAAGTGTCTGCGGACAGCACTGGCTCCCGGCCTATAGAGTGAGATGAGCGCACAACCCTAGAGTCTGGCAAGACTGGCCCATACGGGCAGGGGTACCTTTACCTTTTTATGTAATGTGACCTAAATACATAAAAAGAAAATCAATCAAATGTGCATAGATAATTCACTTATCCCTTTTGGTGCTGTATCTCCATGTTGGGTCACGTGGTTCTGCCATTTTGTTTGGCAAATATATATCTAAGGAAACTTTGCAGTCACAGCTGTGAGGTTGAGATAACATGCCAAATAATTCCTGATTTGCCACCAACATGTCACCAAGAGCAAAAATCAAATGTAGGGGGTTCTTAGACAAAATGTCTGACAAATTTCAAGGAAAATCCAAAAGAATTTTAAGGAGACTTGAGAAATTTCTCATTGAGTCCCCTATACACTTAGGATGCCACTAGATGGAATTAACTACAGTACTTCAGGCACTGGTGACTTAAACATTGGATTACAGCAATGTGGGGCTATCCTTGCACTGGATTGGTGAGCTATACTTTGTGCAGAAGGCTGCAGCATGGTTGATGGCAGGAGTGAGACCCTGCCACCATATAACACCTCTGCCTAGAGAGCTGCACTGGTTGTCTGTTTGCTACCAGGACAAGTTCAAGGTGCTACTCACAGCTTAGGACCAGTTTACTTGCAGATTCACCTTAACCTATGTATGCTCACACGAATTGCAGAACTGGCACTGTTGCAGGTGCCATGTCATACTTATTCTACATTTGCAAGAAAACAACCTTTTAGTGTGGTAGCATCTACACTTTGAACTCTTTGCCTGTTGATATCAGGCAGGCACCTTTGCTGCACTATTTTTGGTGCCTTCTTTTAAAAAACATTGTTTTGGCAAGACTGTCTAGACACGTGCTTTATTTCTTTTTAGCTGCTGTTGATTTTAATCATCTTTTGAATATTTTTAAAACAGTTTTTATTAATAAAGTTAATATTTTCTTTTCATAGGTGTTTTATTTTTTAAAGAAATCAAATGATATAAAAATTTAAAAAATAAAATAAAATTGTCAGGAGTGTGTTCTAGCCAACCATACTTGCAGCACACATTTAAGCCCATCAACAGCTGTTTATTCTCCTGTCCAGAATCCACACACACACACACACACACACACACACACACACATGATTATCATCAAGTAAGGAGGACAGCAGGAATGAGACCATTGGCACCACCCCCTCAGTCATGTTCTCATCACTGACTCTATCACGTTCAATGTGTTGAAGCCTGGATTTCTGAAGCTGGGAGCTTGCTTCATTTGTGTAGGTTCCCCATGAGATTTAGAACCTTGACCTTCTATGGGTCTGAACTGCATGGGGAGCTCTAAGTGCATGAGTAGTGAAAGCTCTCCACTGCTGACAGTCCCTTCCCAACATGTGAAAGGTGATGAGACAGGTAACAAGGATGGACAAAGGGAGTAGGGCCAAACTTCTCATTTCAATCCCCTCCCTTTCATTGCCTGGGTAAGAACACCTGAAGAGGGCTTGAGAATTGGATACATCAATGTGAACTCTTCAGGATCAGAAACATTTTCTACTGTATGTTCAGTACACAATTTTTGTAAAGAAGGAGTTCCAGATAAATGCAATAATTGTTTACTAGTAGCTGTTAATAATTGTATTTGGGGGGGGGGATCTAGAGCTGGGCCAAAATGAGAAGCCCACGTTCCCTGCTCAGCTCACTTGGTTCTATTCACCTTTCCAATTTGGCCCCCTGAGGGTGGGAGAAAGATCAGGCCCATGCACCAGATCCAGTCCCTCCCTCCTATATTAGTCCCATGTCCATTTCCTATCCTGCAGTCATCATTTTGTCTCATGACTAATATCCATTGATAGACCTATTGTATATGAATTTGCCTGATTTTTTTAATCTGATAAGCAATTGCCACATCATCTAGTACTAAATTTCAGACATTTGTTCTGCATTTTATAAAGAAATACTTCTCTTTGTATGTCCTGACTCAGAGAGAGGAAAGGATGATACATATTGACACCTTTCATAATATCTGTCATTTTCCTCATTTGACTTCTTGTAAAAATGATGTGAATCTACATGACATGTTCCCATTCCTCCCTCTCCTTTCATTTGTGTCCATTTTTGGACACCATGGTACTTCATTAATAAAACTTTCTGCCATTCTTCCTTGAATGAAGACAGTGATGGTAACAATGTTTATTCCTTGTTGGTTCCGTTGTCCTCCTTACTGGAACTAGCAGTACAGCTGATACAAGACATAGCGTAAGGATTAGGTAATTTTGCAAACCACTCACGTCATTAGTTCCCATCTGCCTGTTACATCATATGTCCATTGCACTGCTGGAACAAAACATCTTGTGTCCACATAGCTGCACTGTGTGCTAAAACTTATTCTAAAGGCCTTGAGTCTGGAAAGGAAGGTCTAAGCCACAGATGGAGAACCCTCCAGCTGTTGGACTCCAACTCTTATCAGCCCCAGTCAGCATGGACATCTTTCCGGGATGGTTAGACTAAAACTGACACGGGGACAAATAGAAGAAGATGCCTTCACCCTGGTATGGCCCCCCTTCATGACATACACAGCCCAACACAGACAATGACAAAAATCCGCCAACAGCATACAAAACAATATTGCTAACCTGATCCAACCCCAACCTCTCTCACCACCAAAGGAACACAAGTGAACAGGCTGCCACAAACCCTCACATATATTATATAAAATAGAAACATCGCCACCCCACCTCTCCCCCCTCCACTTCTCTCCCCCTTTTCCTCCTAATGTCTCAACAAACAAAACATATCTGTAAAAAATGTTACAGTGGTGCCTCACAAGACGAAATTAATCCGTTCCGCGAGTCTCTTCGTCTTGCGGCTTTAAGAAAAAGGAAACAAACTCGCAAGAACTCGCAAGACGTTTCGTCTTGCGAAGCAAGCCCATAGGGAAATTCATCTTGCGGAACGACTCAAAAAACGGAAAACCCTTTCGTCTAGCGAGTTTTTCGTCTTGCGAGGCATTCGTCTTGCGGGGCACCACTGTACTGGAAAAGAGAGAGACATTGCACATACTTTTGTAAACCAAGAAAATCTTTAATAAAACCCTTTCTGGGATGGTGGGAGTTGTGCCCAGCTACATACAGGTCACAGGCCTAGCTAAATCTTGCCTCTTGAGGTCCTGCTTGGCACTCCTTGCAGAAAGGTGCAGAAATCTCAGTTCTTAAAGAGATAAGCAATGGGGAACTAATATCATGAACCTCTGGCACAAAACAAACCTGTAGCTATGGCTGCACATAATGATTTTTGAAGCCTGCAACAGAATAAGCAGGGGTGGGGATCTCACCCCATTTGACCCAGAGGCCAAATGCAGCAGCCCCTCCCCCCACCCTCTCTATCTAGCCCTTAGGCCATGTCCTTTACCATTCCAGCTTTGCATCCTCTTTGAGCATTTTTGCCTGGGTGGGATGTGTCCTTGTTAGGAAGGCCTTTGCTCACCTGGGTGGAGGATGAACCATCCTGCATAAGGGCAAAATTGTACACTTGTAGCCATACCTACTTTTCTGCCTGATCTTCCCAGCACTGGCATGCGGACCTCAGTCTGAGAAGGTTTCCCACTCCTAGAGTAGAGGTTGGCCCCAAATACCTACTCCTCCAAGACAGCTTCACTTGCCCAGACATCATTCTCTGTTGACTCGTATTATTTGGCTTTTTTTGTTTTGACTGCATATTCACAATTTTACTTTACAAAGACCAACCCAAATTGTGGTGGTGGTGATTTGAATTTATGTCCTGCCCTTTCTCCCAAAGGTGCTCAGTCAGCAAACAACAAGTGATATAGCAATATAAGCATATTTGAAATATCCTAAACAGAATTCCAATATGGATGCAGACTGGGATAGATCTCAGCTTAAAAGGCTTGTTGAAGGAAGAAGTTCTTCAGAAGGTCTGAAAAGACAACAGGGGTGGTGCTTGTCTAATATTAAACGAGAGGGAATTCCAAAGGGTAGGTGCAATGACACGGAAGGACTGGTTCTCATACTGTTCACAATGGAACTTCTGATAAGGTGCCATGTGCAAGTGGTCCTCACCTGCAGAATAATCAGCTGGGCGATCTTTCAGATATCCCGGCTCCAAGCTGTGTATGGCTTTATACACCCAAAGCAGCACTTTGAACAGCACCCAGTAGGTAATTGGCAATCAGTCCAAGAATTTGAACTGCATGAAAGTCTGAGAAAACTAGTCCTCCCCCCCCCACGACTATATGGCACTGTATACCTCACTCCAGAAACACAACCTGTAACAAAGAAAAAAATACAAAAAGCAGCATGATCTTAGCAGGTGTGTATAGTTCAGTAGGGGACGCGGGTGACGCTGTGGGTAAAAGCCTCAGCGCCTAGGGCTTGCCGATCGAAAGGTCGGCGGTTTGAATCCCCGCGGCGGGGTGCGCTCCTGTCGCTCGGTCCCAGCGCCTGCCAACCTAGCAGTTCAAAAGCACTCCTGGGTGCAAGTAGATAAATAGGGACCGCTTACTAGCGGGAAGGTAAACGGCGTTTCCGTGTGCGGCTCTGGCTCGCCAGAGCAGCGATGTCACGCTGGCCACGTGACCCGGAAGTGTCTCCGGACAGTGCTGGCCCCCGGCCTATAGAGTGAGATGGGCGCACAACCCTAGAGTCTGTCAAGACAGGCCCGTACGGGCAGGGGTACCTTTACCTTGGGGTACCTTTACCTTTACCTTTATAGTTCAGTAGACTCTTAAGCTGTAATGTCACATACTCTGTTCAGTTGTTTATCTGCATTTTGTTATATTTTGAAAACTGAAATAAATAATAAATTACACACACAAATAATCTCAGCTACAGATAGAGCAAAAATCATGGTTAGAGAAGCTTTCACCATCCTGGTATCCTACAGATGTTTTTGCAATTTCTAAGCAAGTTGCAAAACTTCAAACATTTCAATTTTCTTTAGACAATTGTTGCTTTTTATTTTTTTACAGTGGTACCTCTGGATGCAAACGGGAAAACGCTCAACCTGAAGCATATTTAACCCGAGGTATGACTGTACTTATCTTTCTCCAATGAGCTCAAAATGGTTTGTATATATTTCTCCTCCCTCCATTTTACCCTCACAACAACCCTTTGAGGTAGAGTAGGCTGAGCAACAATGATGGCCTAAGATCATCCAGTGAGCTTCATAGCTGAGTGGGGTTTGATCCCTGGTTTCTCAGGTCCTAGACTGAGACTCCAAATACTACAACACACTGGATCTCTGAATATAATGGGTAAACTGCATCCATTCATTCATACCATAATCTTACCCCCACCCCAGCTTTGCTTTGTCCAGTTTTGCTGTAGGTCGCAATCCGGCAACTTCATTTGCTATCTTTAACAATGCACTGGGAGATATACCAGCACTGCTATCACTCATGTAGATTTACCCTTTCTGCTTTTTCACATTCACCTTGGAAGCCTGATTTCCTTCTCTTAGCTTAATGTACACATGTATACACACACACACACACACACACACACACACACGCACGTTCACCCTTAATGCCCTGCTCCCTAATTATTCTCACAGGTAAAGCTGCTTCTAATCCAATCCCCACAAAGAGAGAAACAAATATTTTTAACCAGCTGGCCTGTCAAAATGTCCTCTTGGATAGATCACATTATTTCCCAACCCACTAGTTTATACACTGAACATTTTGATCTGGTTATCTCACTTCTGCACAGCTGATATACAAAGTGTTGAAATATACAGTTACTGACTCACACTTGCATGCACAAAAGAGTTAACCTGAGCCTAGAGCTCAGGTTGCAAGTGGGTGTGGCTTTGCAGGCTCTCAGCAGCACCTGCTTCTCACTTCTTCTCTTCATGCTTCCTGGAACAAGCAAGAAGGAGTCATGTGGCTGATGCCTCCCAGCTGCAAGAAAAATCAAGTGAACTTAATTTCTCCAAAAGAAAGATTTTGCAGCCTACGTCTTCATGGTAGCATCTGTTGCTCAGCACTAGCGAAAATCTCACCCCAGCTATGAGCTCATGAAGTGGCCTTAGCCAAGCCGCCGTTCTCTCTGACTCAGCTCCCACAACTGCAGTATTGCTCTAACAGTACAAGCCTATCTTACTGAAACCAGGAAGAGAGATAAAATTCATAGAATGCTTAGCATATTACATAACACAGAAAAGCACATCCGCCAAGTACTCCCTCCATTATTTGGGAAGGGCAGAGCTTCTGTTTCTGCTTCCATTCCCAGCATTTCTAGGTAAGGCAAGGGCATTTCCTGAAACCTTGGACAGTTGCTGCCAGTCAGAGTAAAGAATACTGAGCTAGATGGAGCAATGGTCTGACTCCTGTGTACCATTATAAAGCAGAACTAGAGAAAGTACTTCATTTACCAGTTACTCCATACTCCACCTGCCCTTCAATGGAATTTGAATAATATGTGTTACTGGTCAATGTGTATATTCCTCCCACCTCTACTGTCACAGCCAAGAACCATCAATGGGATCTCCTTGCACATCTGCTCGAGAATCTGGACACCATTTGCCCCAATTTACCTATTGTCTTGACAGGAGATTTTAATGCCCGCCTAAGCCAAGGGCGGGAAGTATATACAAAAAGCTTGGGAGATCTTGGACTCTACTGGTCTTCCTGACTTCTGCTTATGGAATTTATCTATGGAATTTCAATCTGGATGTCAGGGTTTACCTAGTCAGTGGAACGAGTGCAGGCAGCCTTTCTGTTTAAGATTTTCGCTGTCCCATGCTGTGTACCTTACACAGCCCTGTGTCTAGAGGGAGGCCAACATAAGCTAGAGACAGTTGCCTGGATGAGTTTTCTTTTATGCTGGCTAAACATTTGTTTTTCAGCAGGCAAAGATACTTTACTTAGCGAAGTTCTGTCAGACTCCTTCCCTTCCCCAGGGCTACAACTGTTTTGCACAAAGATACGGCAACTTGGGCTTTCAGAGGATCTCCTGGGTACTGTGGCTTTTCCAGTCGCCAAGGCCATGCTAAAAACTAGGCTGTTGGGACATAGACCGCCAGGAACTACAGTAATCTCAGCTGTGGAAAAAACATGTTCCCCTCTTTACTGTCGCAGGATTTTAACCTTAATTATTTACAATTTTTGTTTAACCCGCAAGAAAGAAGGGCTTTTTCACTGGCTAGGTTCAATTCTAATCCTTCTAACCTCCTTTGGGGTAGGTTTGAGGGAATGGCAGAAGGAGATAGGATCTGCCCATGTGATGCCCACCTGGTGGAAACTAGCTCACATGGCCCTTAAATGTAAAATATATGATGATCTCCGCCAACAATTCTGAGACCACCTATGTATCCCAACATGGAAACCAGAGACAGAGGTTATACACTTCTTATTACAGGGGAGAGACCAGGAGCTCACCAAGACAGTAGCTAAGTTCCTCTATTTGATTTTCTGCCGCCGAAGTACGCTACAGGACCCTGCCCTTGCTGGAGTCCCACAGAGGTGAAATAGATTGCTCGCCTCTTCTTCTCTTTGGCAAATGACTGTACTGTTGAAATGGCGACGAGATCACATTGGCCTATTTATTCTGAATGTTTGTAAGTGATGCCTATAAAGGTTTGATGATGATGATTTTCCTCTATCAAGTGATGGGGGATATCAATGGTAGAAAAAGGATGCAAAGCTTTGAGCAAACATCCACCTTCCATCTGGTGGAGAACAGTATGGAACCTAAAGGACCCCATCCAGCTAAAGTTAGCCTTGTTTAAATTCCCCTAAAATCAAAATGGGGCTGTAGTGAGTTCTGGCTCCTGTTGATTGCCATGAGATTTTGTTGCAGGTAACTTTAGTCCAGTTGGGACCAAAGTAATTGGCCCCCGACTGGCTGACTCCAAAGTGTTTTGATACAACATTAATGCTACATAAGCCTTGGGCCAACTTTAGACAGCTGAGGAGGATACCAGAAACAAGTGAAAACATGAGTGAAATGTGGTTTCAAACATTCCTCATATCACACACATAAATCTACTTGGCATGACTCTACTTTTGTCTGTTTCTTTGAGTTCAGAATCAGATCTTGGCAGGAGGCCAAGCAAAACAATTATGAAACAATTATCAAGCTTTCACTGAAGTGAATTATTATTATGGATTCCCTTCTTAAGGATGCAACCTTTCTCCTTGAAAGGCTATTATATTACAGTACTGAGACCAGCACCTTCTTTTAATACCTAATACATCTTCTGTGTGCACACCCATACCTCAAACACAAAAATGTTTTTGTCTAAAGAAAGCCAGCACTGGAGGGCCAGCTCAAGACATTTTGCTGCCTGAGGCAGAGAACAAGGTAGTGTCTCCAGTGCCAGATTACCAAAGAGGCAGAGTCGGCGCCAGCCTTTTAGGGGCCCCACAACAACAGATCAAAATAATATTTCTTTGATCTTGAAAGCAAATTACAAAAACATATTAGCATATAATTTGCAAGACAGCCCCCCCCCAAAAAAATTGGGCTGCCTAGGGGTATCCCCAGGGATTAATCTGGCACACTGTCTTCTACCATTGCATGTACAAAAGTCAACCAACTGGCAATGACATGTAATAAGGCTACATCCACTCCATACATAGAAAGCTGTATCATACCAGTCATGGTTTCCCTCAAATGATCTAGAGCAGGTTGTTTGGTAAGAGTGCTGAGAGATGCAAGGTGACTCCCTTTTTTAAAATATAATTTTTATTGATTTTAACATACCAATTATAAAATGTACCACAACTTTATCACTTATACAGTCTTTTTAGACTTCCATCAGCACCTCTGAAAATCCACTGTTATAATCACTTCTTCTGCATTTCTCAATTTTATATTACCTTTAAATCTCTTAACAAATCATCCTCCCCTTTATCCATTTTTGTAATAATTCCAATAATACTCCTCACAAAACCTCTTGCAAACCTACAAACGTCATCTGATCTTCACAAATACTTTTCAAATAGTCCGTAAATTTACTCCAGTCTTCCATGAATTTCTGGTCCCGCCAGTTTTGAATCCTTCCTGTTAATTTATCTAATTCTGCATAGTCCATTAACTTCATCCTCCATTCTTCAATCGTCAGTAATTCTTCTTGCTTCCATTTTTGGGCCAATAATATTCTTGTGGCTGTTGTTGCATATAAAAAAAGCTTACATTCCTCTTTGTTTATATCACTCCCCACAATGCCCAGTAAAAATGCTTCTGGTTTCTTTATAAATGTATATTTCAACATATTTTCATCTAATTATATATAATCTCCCAGAAGCTTTTCACCTTCTTACATTCCTACCACATGTGATAAAATGTTCCCTCTTTTTCTTTACATTTCCAACATTTATTATTAACTTTATATGAGATGCAAGGTGACTCCTATTCCCCTCATTTTTCCCTACAATTTTCATAGTGGTTTAATCTTTAACCTCTCTTTCCAGTGAATTCTGGGAATAGTAGGTTTGTGTGGGGTCTCTTAATATCGGCCTGAGCCAGAAATAATTGCATGATCTTTTTTATAATCCAGGTCTTCACCACTCACCTGAAGCACACAGTGATGGAGCCTGGCAATGCACAAGGTAGGTGCATCAATAGAAATGTCCTCTCCCTGGTTGTCTCCAGTCTTGCCTCTTGCCGTTGAGGAATTTGAGTTAGGGCCTCAAATCATTATCAGGAGTGCAGAGAGACTGAGGACCACAAACAAAAAGGAAGTCCAGATCCTAAGCCAGAGGTTCCCAAACTGTGGTTTGTATGCCATCAGTGGACCACAAGCTTCATTCAGGTAGTCTGTGGGGTGTCTGTGGATTTGTGGTTGAAGACAGGTGATGGTACATCTATTGGATTAAATATTGATTGTTCATGGTATTTGTATTCCTTCTTATATTTCATTATGTTACAATTTGAATTCTATGTGAATTCTATGAAATTCAAATTATTATATGATAGAATTCAATTCAATTCTATGATATAATATAATAGCAATTAAATTGCAATTTAAAACCATACAGGATCTAGCACAGTGCATTCCAAGACTCTGCAATTTTCAAATGGTTGCCGGGGAAGTGAGCATGTAAGTCATTAAGGGTTTTAAAGGTTAAGACTAGCAACAAACACTCCACAATAACATCAGACCCATCAAAATTGTAGAGAGTATTCTGCAAATGAGGGACGCGGGTGGCGCTGTGGTCTAAACCACAGAGCCTAGGGCTTGCCGATCAGAAGGTTGGCAGTTCGAATCCCCGTGACGGGGTGAGCTCCCATTGCTCGGTCCCTGCTCCTGCCAACCTAGCAGTTCAAAAGCACGTCAAAGTGCAAGTAGATAAATAGGTACTGCTCCAGAGGGAAGGTAAACGGCGTTTCCGTGCGCTGCTCTGGTTCACCAGAAGCGGCTTAGTCAATGCTGGCCACATGACCTGGAAGCTATACGCCGGCTCCCCCGGCCAGTAAAGCGAGATGAGCGCCGCAACCCCAGAGTCGTCACAGGGATTCGAACCGCTGACCTTCTAATCGGCAAGTCCCAGGCTCTGTGGTTTAACCCACAGCGCCAAGCGCGTCCCTGAGAGTTGTTAGGTGACCCCTATTTCCCTCATGAAGTTAAAATTCCCAAAGTCCCTTGGTCAATTATAATAATAAATATAGTTGTAGCAAACATGGAATATATTTTATGTCACTCATTCTTTAAAAAAAAAATTCTATGATTATTAAGATTATTTTATTATCTTGTCATTCTTCCTGGTCTTGTGTTTTTAAGTATAGATAGGGTGAACCTTTGTATCTTGTTTCTCTCTTAGGGTCACTTGCTTTTAAGGAGCAGGCTGGTGCTTTGATGTTTATATTGTAACGATATGTATGAAATCTTTTATATGCATATATATAAATTTATCAATAATGATAATAACAGAGAAAACTTAAACTTAAATAAATTACCAGCATCTCTCTTCCTACATATTAATCTCAGAGCTCTTATTTGGTCCATCTTTTCTGAACCTGTTTACTCTCCATGATTCACAGGAGCCCCAGAGCTGTACAAAGAATGATATATGGGACACATGTCAGCAAGCTTGATTAATCTTCATTGTCCTTAATCAAACCCCTCAAAGTACCTCAAAAACATCTCCTTGAAGTTACCCCCCTGCTCTTTGCTGCATCACACAGATCACTCTCCCTGGAACATTCATACCTGAACAGTGTGTTTGCATCCCATAGTGACCTGTCCCCATTTCAAGTGGCCTCTGTGACCAGGTCTCAATTGCATTGCGAGGGATGAGCAGCCCACACCCAGGGCAGCAAACCAGAACACAATATTCAATGAAGAAGACATCCCTGACAGCTAGATGTCTGCTTTGCCTTATTAATGGCCTTCTTCAAACACTGCAAAACAGATCAGCATGGCACTGGCCCTCCTTTCACCTTGCAAAAGGTGAACACCTGACTTTCTGTACCCCTGACTTACGGTTTGTCTTATGCCCACTAAGACCAGGCCCTTTAGTTTGGTGTAGGTATCAGGGTGGGGAGGATTCAATTCAGTTTGCATTTAAAGCCAAAACTATCAAATTCACATTTTTTGAAACAATATGGCTACCAAAACACACAGCCACCCTTCCAAGTTCCTATTTCTCTGAACTCTGAAATGCAGTTATCCAGCCAGTGTTTACAAAAATATATAGGCTAGGAGAAAGTCCACATAAAAATGAATGCATTATTGAAAATAACACAGAAAAATGCATTGTATTAGGAGACATTTATTGAAAAATGTGCACATTAGTCACATTAGGAGAAATTTGATGGTGTATTTTCATGAGGATTTTTTTTAAAAAAACCAACAACGAACAAACCATAAATTGCTGCAGAAATGTGGAGAACTGAATTTATGATAGGGGGAAATGAAGAAGTGAGCATGGCAATTTGGACCCAGCTCTCCTTTGATCTAGTCCATCAGACAGTGTGAACTTCTTCACTGGAGGTTTTAAGCAGTGGTTGGATGGCCATCTGTCAGGCATTCTAGACTGCCTTTGGGGTCCCTTCCCTATCATTCTATGATACTACCATTCAGGTCCAAGAGACTAATGTGGTCCTCCATGCCTTTCGATCTGGCCTTTGGGATTCTCCTCAGGCTACACACCCTCCTCAGCCACAACCCTCACCAGCCTTGCTTTGCCTGCCTGGAATGTGCCCTTGTACACAAACAGTGCTGCTTGCTTGCCTGGATGGATGGAAGATAGAGAAGGATGTGTATGTGTGTGGAAATCAATCTACTGTACTGTACAAAGGAAAAATTCACATTCATTGATCTGTCCACTTTTGCCTCTAGCCCCAGCCACCACTGGCATATGCCCCCCAAAAGGTTTCCGAGAAGGAAAGGTTGCTCCTGGCTGTGGGCTTGATGTCAGGACTAGTGATTAACTTCTAAAAGCCCATGCTGAAACTGGGGCCAGTTGCATTCTGTTCCTTAATCTTTAATATTTGGCATTCTTGTTCATTCTTTTTCATGCTTTGAAGGAAATGTCCTCTGCACAAACCCACAGGCACTCCCAATCTATATTTCTTCACGTGTCCCAGGACTGACCCCTGCTTCAGAGTAATCCCTAATTGGGAGACCCTGTCACCCTCTTTAGGACGGAAGGACATTCTCTGAGCTTAGTGGGTAGTTTAGTTACACACCCAGCTTTGAGCAAGAGTTGAATTGATTTGCCAAGAATAAGCCTTAGGAACACATAAGCTTCTTTCCTGCAACTAAGAGGAAATATACAAGTGTTCCTGCATTGCAACTGAGTTGGCATGAACAGCATGTAATGTGATGGAGTCCAGGCTGGGTGGAACTCTCTGTCCAGAGTGCTTTGTTTGCTTCTCTTCCTACTGGCTTTCCATCTGCAGATGAACTTTTTTATTTCAGAGTATTTAAATGATGTTTAAATGGTTCTGTCTTTTGCCTTATTCCTGGTCCTGCCCACCTGACTGCCTGCCTTCCCTAAGATGTGGTGAAGACCACCTACTTGGATAGCTTTAAAAGAGGATTGGACAGAGCCAGTGTGGTGTAGTGGTTAAGAGCGGTAGTCTCGTAATCTGGTGAACCAGGTTCGCGTCTCCGCTCCTCCACCTGCAGCTGCTGGGTGACCTTGGGTCAGTCACACTTCTCTGAAGTCTCTCAGCCCCACTCACCTCACAGAGTGTTTGTCGTGGGGGAGGAAGGGAAAGGAGAATGTTAGCCGCTTTGAGACTCCTTTGGGTAGTGATAAAGCGGGATATCAAATCCAAACTACTCCTCCTCCTCCTCCTCCTCTTCTTCTTCTCTTCTTCTGTTTTCATTTCATACATGATATTTCATTACCAGGGCCAACACAAGACATTTGGGCAGCTGTGGTGAACCACAAAACAGTGCCTCTCCACCAAGGAATAAGGGGTGAGTGAAGACCTACATCAGGAACAAGGGTGAGAGGAGACCAGCAGCCCCTATTCACCAAGAGGTGGCTGTACTGGTGGCATTGGAAGAGGCTGCCAAGGAGATGACAGATCCGGCCTCCAAGAAGCATGCCGCAGATGACACTGCTGAAGAAGAAGAAGAAGAAGAAGAAGAAGAAGGCGGCAATACATTAGTTAGACACCAGATCTGCTGCTTCTGTGGGTCCTGCCACCTCAGGCACTCACCTCACCTTGCCTCATGGGTGGGCCAGCACTGAATATTACACAGTTCTCCAGCCAAAGAACATGTTAAAAATGTGAAGGGAAATAATGTACAAAATGCGACTTCCGGTCGGCGCCAGCGTTTAATGGCGGTCCTTGCTTCGAGCTCCGAAGCAGGACTGCTCCGCGAGTTCGGGTCTGACCCGCTACGGCGAGCGGGGGACCCCTAAAATCACAGGCGCTGAAGCCTGTGAACAAGGAGACTCGGCGGGCACCTTTTGCGCCCCCCGGTACTGCGAAAGAGCCTTTTTAAAGGCTCCGGAGCGGCATTGGGTGTGAGCGCGGTGCTGAGAGTCGCAACCCAGCCCGCGGAGTGAAGCCGCGTCGCCATAAACGGAGAGCGCCGATTCCTTCCTGAAACTGGAATCTGACCATAAAACCCGTGAGTAAGACTGACAGACGTGAACGGGATACCTAAATTAAATTTTGGAAATTTGGCTGAAAACGGGAAAGGCATAAAGTAAGGAAGTCTGCCTCCCCGGACTGCATGGCAATCAAAGCAACGAAAGAGCAAAGCTGCACTTAAAAGAAGGCTAACTTTTAGGCTGTTAAAACCCGACATCTGACTTAAACTTCCCCCCAGTAAGCAGGAGAAGGGGGGAAGAAAACTGGACATTGTAAACCTGCTTGAAGTAAAGTGAGGAAAAAAGATTTTCCACTGTCAAAACCCCGGGACGGGCTGCCGGAGCAAGGCACCGGGAAAGTGAACTGTCAGTTCAGATTGGATACAAAGTTGGGGTTTTGTCTGAAACAAAGTTATGGGACTTTGATGGAATTACTTTGTTGAATTTCTGACTATTGAAAGTGTTACAGAAACTTTTACTGTGGACTTTTGGACTCTTTGTTCTTTGTCTCATGTTTCTTTGTTCTCTTCACTTGGATATATTGAATGCTCCCTCTAGAGGGTATAAAGAGAAATTGTTACAGGGAAAGGAAAACAGTGGAATTCTCCACTTGCAAGTCTTTCCTGTGGAAATTGACCTTGAGGATATGAGTGGCCCAGCAGATGAGATAACAACTAGATCAAAAGCAAAACTAACCCAGCAAACTCAAAAGAAAAGGGGCTCAATATCAGGCACAACACCAGCTGGACAGGAAAAAGTTACAACAGCATCTATGGAATCAATGACACAGGCACTGCTTAAAATAAACCAATCTTTGGAAGCACTGACAAAGCTGTCAACGGAAAATTCGAAGAAACTGAATGACTTGACAACAAGATTGGACCTGAATACGGCAAGTGTAGCGTCTAACACAGAATCTATAAATAAATTGATTCAAGAAAGTTCTGAAACACGAAAGATTGCTGAAAGTGCAAAAAATACTGCAGATGAGACAAAGAAGGAGCTTGCACCAAACACAAAAAAGTGAATGAACATGATGCAACCTTATCCTTATTGGAACTTCAGAGAAAGGAGAAAAATCTGAAATTAAGATTGGTTCCAGAGAGCGAGAAAGATAACCTTGTGGAATTCCTCACACAGAACATTTTGGAATTTTGGCAAGACGAAATACAGGAGGAAGAACTTGAAATAACAACAGCTTTCCGGCTGGGCAGGAGGCAAGGTAAGAAGCCTAGGGATTGTCTGATTACACTGAGATCCAAAAAAGAAAGGGATAAAATACTGAACTTACATTACCATAAGGCCCTCGAGATTGGGAATAGTCAAGTGCAAATCTTCAAAGATATCCCTAAATATATTTTGGAGGTGAGAGCCTTCTATAAAGATTTGGTCTACCTGCTGAAGAAAAACGACATACTCTTCAGGTGGGAGTTTCCACAAGGACTATCTTTTAACTACACAGGAAGGAAGGTTAAAATAAGAACAGTCCAAGACAAAGAACAGTTCTTGGAAAGATACCAGGAAGACCTGCAGAAAGGAACAGTAGAAACAACACCAGACAAAGGATCGACAGACATTGCAAACCTATCATTTGGACTTATACCACCATTGGAGGAGGAACAAAAGCTTGGAGCAGTTGGAGGAACAGGTACATAGTAGTAAAATGTCTCTGCAACTTCTCAGCTGGAATTGTAATGGTCTTAACCTTCCCAGAAAAAGACGCCAAGTTTTTCACATATTGAAGAGAGAGCAATTAGACCTAATATGTCTACAAGAAACGCATGTGACCAGGACACATAGAAAACTACTTGTAAATAAGAGACTTGGACAAGAATTTATTTCATCAGATAAAGTTAAGAAAAGAGGCGTAGTGATTTATGCAAAAGAAAAATTGGTTCCTAAAATGATATTCAAAGATGAACAAGGAAGATACCTGGCAATAGAAGTACAAGTACAAGGAGAAAAATTTTGATAGTGGGAATATATGCACCAAATGAGGGGAAGGCGGAATTCTTTAAGAAGTTGCATGAGACTTTAATGGATTATTTGGACTACAAAATTATAATGATGGGAGACATGAACGGTGTTGTTTCTACAAACATGGACAAGGCACAGAGACAAACAATTTCTAAGGAAGGGAGACTACCAAAGATCTTTTTTGAAATGACTGAAACACTGGACTTGATCGATATTTGGAGAGTAAGGAACCCTCTTGAGAGAGAGGGAACTTTTTTCTCTGAAGCAAAAATGACATGGACAAGGATCGACCAAATTTGGGTAACTAGTAGTATGGCGCCAAGGATAAAAAAAGTAGAAATCTGCCCAAAGACTTGCTCCGACCATAATGCTGTGAAGATGGAGATGAAACTAACAACAACTGGAACCTTTAGATGGAGGATGAATGACACCCTATTTAAAGATGAAGAGATCTACAAGAAGGCCCAAAAGGCATTGAAAGATTACTTTGAGATAAACTTGAGAACTAATGTGGAGAAAAGAATAATTTGGGACGCAAGCAAGGCCGTGATGCGAGGTTTCCTAATACAACAAAATTCCATAAAGAGGAAAAAGCAGAATGAGAGGAAAGAGAAAATCTTGGAAAAAATGAAAGAAGGTGAAAAGAAATTGAGGTCTAAACCAAAGTCTCATGAGATTTTGAGGGAAATAAAGTACTACCAGATGCAATACATGGAATTGATGAATCAAGAGATAGAATGGAAAATAAAGCAAATGAGACAAAAGACATTTGAATCGGCA